GGCCCAAAGCTGACCGAAAACACCGAGATAGTCCAGATACTTGGATTAAACGAGAATCTGGAGATAGGTGACTAACCACTAGTTATCACGGGGACCACGGTGATGCGACCCAAGGTAAAGTAAAGGACCACCACGTGTTGTCACGTGAAAGGAACCCGTGGTATAAGTCAGACTTGACTCTGGTCAAGTTTAGTTTGTGTCGACCTGTTGGAGCGAGAGGACGAGCGTCTGAATGTGCGAATGTCTACGTGAGTGCCTGAGGAGAAAGGAGACCTGCCGACGAAATGTTAAGCTGAGATCGACCATGCCAGCGTGTGAGATGTCCAAACGTCAGTGTTGAATCCATGGGACCCATCGTTGCTTGAATGCCTGCAGAAGACTGTTCGTTAAAGGCTGCGTGAGTTTGTGTACGAAAGCTGTTCAATTAGACATCGACTGGACGATCCTGTTTGTCGTAAGTTGTAATACGTCAATAAAGTAATGTCTCGTAAGCTCACGTCGGTGTCGGCTTGTGCCAGGTGTGTAACGTGAAGCGTGTCAGAATATCATCCACCACACACGCATGAACACCGCCTAGACAACGAGTAGAAATCAAACCCATTTATTACAACTGCAGTGATACGTTGCTACAAGCGTCGGAACAAAATTGTTTTGCGCCCTATTTCCTGCAATGCAATACATGTAATCCGCTGATCCACACGATTGTGGATACCCGCCAGGTATAAGCTTTTGGGTGGGGCAAGCAACCAAGTCTGCACCACCGACGTCACCTCATTTCTATCTGCATCTGACCCGCAAAGTTCTTTAGTTCACATAAAGTGGATACACTACAGACTCTGCGGTTTGAAGTATTGAAACATCCAGCATACAGCCCAGACTTGGCGCCATAGGACTTTCATTTGTGAGGTCCACTGAAAGAACGTTTGCACTGTCAGATACTGGGAGGTGACGACATCTGTGCAATTATACATTATGAAATCATTAAGTCATCGGAGATCCTAGACCGCCTGCAAAAATCCCTATTAATCCATTTAGGAGTTTTCGTGTTATTTGGTTATGTTTGAGAGCACGAGTCTTAAAATGGATTATAAACATTTGTTCTGCTTCTTCTATGTAACCCCCCCCCCCCCCCCCCCCTACCCCCATCCTCCATAATAAGGCACAAGAAGCCACACGGGGAAGCGAATTATTTTGAAACTTAGTTGTAACTTTTAAATCCCAGTCACTGTTTTTTTATAAGCTCCAAGCGGCTTTGCATCTATCGGGCCGAGATTGTTCTGGAGATTTCTTTCCTCACCCATATCTAAACTACTGACTCCACAGGGATCATGATGCACAGCGTTATCTTCTCTTTCCCATATTAGAAGCCAAACGGATGTACAAGATGTGTTGTAAGACTGCACGCAAGATAAAGGCTTATGTAGGCGTAATTAGGTTCAGATCCTTTGCATTAAAAAAATTATTTTTTTTTAAATCATAGGAAAAATATACATGAAGGTAGAACTAGTCGTCTTCACAATGCCACTCTAACGGACAACCTTCATCGGCATACGACACAAACGGACAACTATGCAATTATAAGCAAGAAAATATAAAATCACAATACCATGAGGCTTGTCCAAACAAATTCTCCATCTACGCTAATGTAGTGGAGTCTCTGTAACAAATGTCGTTGCATAAAAAATGTCATATCTACCTAGATCAAATCTATAAGATTGTCTAGATGATAACGTGCCGAAACGATTGTTGAAGGGGAGCCGCCTATTGAGAATCGGTCGACTCCTACTGATCATGCTCCCGCTGTGGAGTTCTTGTTATACATTATTTGATCCAGTGCAGCACACGAAGTAAAGGACCCTTTTCAACGCCTTCTGGTATATTGGGTATATAGGGCTAGACCTATATTTTATAGACCAAAAGACACTTGGTGCGTGGTGTGGTCAGAATCACACCGGTCACCTTTATTTCCCAGGACCATCTGGTACCCACTCAAGGCTGGATCTACCTGGGAGTCAAGGTCATTTTTGAAAAAAATCCAGGTCCTTTCAGGACCCGAACCCACGACCTTACGACCCACAGGTGAGCGTCTAGCAGCACATGTAGCCAAAACGAAACTACTACTAGACTGGTTACTTTTTCATGACAAGTCTTAGGTACTTCATTGCAAGCAGGCCTCGCTCTCAATTCACAGAGAGGAATTATGTACATTTAAGACGTATTTGATTGAACGTGATTTAAACACGGTATGTCAACAAACAGAATGTATTACTTGGTATGTTGCAGAAGATACCGCCGCCGCAGGAAATTGGAAAGCATGCTATGGCAGGTCAAGTTTGAGGAGATCGACTTTGTTACTGCAATACTAAGTGGGAGTGTTAGGGTAAGTATTGAGTTCACAATATATTTTTCTCTAATCTGTGAGAGCGCCAGAGTAAACATTCATTGTACAAGATATTCTTCTCTAAAATTTAAGGGTGCCAAATAAACATTCAATGTACAAGATATACATTAAATATAGAAAATTTACTTCTCTAATCCGTGATAGTGACAAAGAAAACATTCTTTTTCTTCTTCACTTCCTCTTTTACCGCTGTGGGTGTCGAGGGGATATAAGGTTCTGTTTCTAGCTCTTCTGGCTGCCTCGACCATAGGCACATCGTGCTGTTGTAGAGTTTCTCTGATGTTATCCTTCCATCTTGTTCTTGGTCTACCCCGTGCTCTACGTCCTTCTTCTCTTTCCAAGTATGCATTGTATGGTATGGTGTCACAAGGCATTCTCTCCAAGTGGGCAAACCATTTCACTTGCTGTCTGTGTATGTAATCCAGAATTGGTTCTGTGCCGACTTGTTCTCTTATGATCTCATTCCTGATCTTATCTCTTATGGTCACTCATACAGCCCTTCTCAGACATCTCATTTCCGTGGTTACTAATTTTCTTTTATGGTTTGTTGTGAGTGACCATGTCTGGCACTGATAGCACAGAGTTGGAATAAATATGCTTTGAATAAGATGCCTCTTTGTGCTATTGGGACTGTCTTATGCTGTAAGAAGGGAGCTAGCTGTCCCAATACTTGGTTTGCTTTACTGCATCTAATGTCAATTTCTTTATCCAATTTCCCATCTTCGGTAAATGTAGTTCCCAGATATTTAAACTCATATGCCTGTTTAATGCCTTTGTATTCTATTGCTATGTTTAGATCTGTCTTCTTTTTTCCTATTGACATTACTTCTGTCTTTTCAGTGTTGATTCTCAAATTATTTGTTTTACATTCTTCAACATTAAAAACATTAAATGTACACAATATCGTTCTCGAATCTGTAAGAGTGCCAAAGTAAACATTGACGGAACAAAATAATTTTCTCTAATGTGTCAGAGTTGTTCCTCTCTAATCAGTGTGTGTATGTGTGTATGTGTGTGTGTGCGCGCGCGCGTGTGTGCGTGTGCGTGTGTGCGATAATAAACACTGAATAAACAAACTATTCATATCATATATCGTAAGCGTGCAGGATAAAACCTGGGGAAGCCATGATCTTATCTCATAAACTGTGACGTCACCAGAGTTCCACCAGCATTTCGGTAAACAAACTGGCTTTTCAGAAAGAAGAAGTTATACCTTAAAATATCATGTGCATTGAAGTTTTTTCTTGCCGATTCACGTGCCATTATGCATATATGTGACTAAAGAAACTGAATGTTACGTACAAGAATAATACTAAACACTTGGACCAAGTTTGCCTTAATTCGAGTGTGTGGTCGCTAATGGTAGCCGCTTTTTTGTTTTAATCTTCAGTCTTCTTTCTTCTCTGTTGTCACTATCTGCTTAAGCCGATAGGCGTTGCTGTTCATCGGACGATCGGCAGCCAAGCCAGGGCACTCTCAGTCGCTTGATTGTATGCAGTCTCTTTTTTCTGTCTTTCCTTTCTCTTGATTGTTCGTTTTTAGTGTATACGCTCTTGCTGCTGGCATCGTTGGTTTCATTCTCATTAGACGGCCAAACCATTACGTTCTTTGTTTCTCAAACAATTTGACGATGGGTGTTGTTCCAGCAGTTCTTGTAATCACGTCGTTTCTCACTCGATCTCTTCTGGTTTAATTCACAGCCATTCTGAAACATTTAATCTGACAGGTCATTGGTTGTCTTTCGTGTTCTTTTGTCAATGTCCAAGTCTGACATTGGTAACCTTAATTCGATTGTATCTTTAGTAATCATTGTTAAAGTTAAGTTAATTTACATGCATCCCTTTATGAACACTTCAATTGAGTAATAAGTGTTAGGCATGGGTACGATTTTGCTGAACTTTGTCTACGTTTTCATTGTGTTGAACTCTCTGTGAAAAACATTTACTAAACACATTGACATCTTTGACTGGCACTCATGGAAATAAGTACAGAGAAAGGAGGATATACTAGTTAGTTGCACATTCTTTATTTCGAACGTTGCAAACAAACAAACCGCATACAGCCTTTGTTGGTTGTTTATTGTTTTGCTGTACAATTTAATGCCCCGTAGCGTGCCTTTGTCTTTGTCTAAATCGCCTGCAGCTTAACTGAACCGTGTTTTTTAAAGTTCAAACCTTGCTCGTAACCCCTACGCTACAGACACAGACTGAATACACTGTATAACAAATGAAAGGCTATATTTACTGTACAAGTAATCAAAGTTGTCACCTTCAAATGACGACATCGCCTCGCTGTAGAAATAAATGTGCGTCGACGCATGACCAACTCGACACCTGAAATCTTCACATTCACGAGGCAGTGTCTGTTGTTGCATTTATTGTATCACTACTACAGACTGTATCTGTGAAGAAACACAGCTTTTGATTTTGATTATATTTCCAGGTCAGCTTTCGAAATTTAGCCAGACGAAGAACTTTTAGTAATAAAAAACTGCCCAAGTGCAGATCAAGTTTCAGGTTTGAGCACACTGATTCGACTGACACACGATGTTCCGCCGAGTCGGGGGCAGTCATGTTTGGCTCTGTGGCTTATTTCAGGGGTAAGTGGTTGCTAAACGAATGGGTGAGCTGGTTGGTGGGTTTGTCTAGGCGGTTTGGTTAGTTAGTAAATTAGTTAGCTGGATGGGTTGGTTTGTTGGCTGATATTTTATAATTTGTTTGATTGGTTATTTAATTAGTGGGTCGAAATAATGTTTTAATGTTGACCTGTTCATTGGCCAGTTAGCTAGTGAAAGTGTAGAAGGCTTCAGTTTTTACTCACGACTATAAACATTTAAAATGGACATAAACGGTCTAACAACTAAGTAAAGAGTCTGTTTTATTATGGCTAAAACAAAAACTCAGTCATAAAGCAAAGCGAATCATGTAAACAGGCACCATCTATCTATGATCTGACAAAAGCAAACATGTCATCTAAACAAGCACCATCTATCTATGATCTGGCAAACTTTTAACCAGGTCAGCAGATAAGTAACTCGGTAATTTGCTTAGCTAATGAAAGTTGCATTTTAAGTATGCAGCATGGAGTTTAAGGTGAATATAATTGTGTTTTAAACTAGGAGTGCTTTTGAGATCGTTGAATTAATGATGCTTTACAATATGGGATGGGTTTTCAAATTCAGTTATCACAACTTGAGGCACTCTATTACAGTGTGCTAGCTTAATAACTGATGACTGATCACTATAGAAGTTACTGTTCAAACCCTTCTAACAGTCTTATGTTTTTAACTCTTCAATAAGGCTACATTCATTTTAAAAATTCATATCCCAAAATTATCCAGATTAAATGTGGCCTTTTTGTTTATTGTGCACTTCTTTAAAATGACCTTATGTTATTAGCGCTCCGATAAGGCTAAATTCATTTTAAAAATTCGTATTTCGAAATTCTCCAGATTAAATTTGGCCCTTTGTTTAAATAAATTGGGAGAAATAGAAAACGCCTAAACATATTTAATATCCCTGAGTCCAGAAGAAACCTATAGGTAACAAGCTTAGAGTACTCCGTAGCTCATTAGTGGAATCATCCCCCACTCTTTTCATATCATATACGGTAAGCGTGCAGGAGAATATAACTGGTTAAGACATGTTCTCATCTCGTAAACTGTGCTGTCACCAAAGTTCTTCAGCATCTCGGTAAGCAAACTGTGGATTTTCAGAAAGAAGAAGTAATACCTTAAAATACCATGTGCAACGAAGTCGATAGTAGTGGGAGGCGGTAATAGAGCGCGCATTTGAGAAATCGATCTCTCTTTATCCTTAGTAAAAGATGGCGGCCAAAAGTGATTGGTTCTTTCCAGCGGGTTAGCACCCGCCCTCTTTATCCTTAGTAAATATCGATCGGGACACCCACCCTCTTTGTCCTTAGTAAATATCGATCGGGCGGTTGGTGATGGCACAAGTGATTGGTTTTAGGTAAAGGTATAGGAAATCGATACTTTGTAGGTGCATTATTAGCTTCATAACTGCAGTTGACAGGTGGCGTTATATAAAGGGTGAGATTAGGGAGCCGTTTTAGACTTGCGATAAAGAAAACCTAGGAAGGCGGCGTGATGACGGGGATATATTAGAAAGGGCGGCTCGAGAGCCATCATCATCATCATCTGTATCATGGGATCGAAGGTCGATCGCTCAGGGATGGTTTGAGTTGTAGTAAAAAAGGAGAATGTACGACAGAATGCTGGGTGTCTGGTAATACTGTTGAGGGCCGAAGAGAAGGGGCATATTTGGCAGACTATCTGACTTTGTAAATAAGTGGGCGAAGGTTCTGATTGGTCAGCTGGGTTTCAGTGGTAATTCTGCTGGAGCAGTCGGTTTAGGAAAACTCGGCAGTTGGTTTCGCTCAACGGGTACGCCCGCCCGCCCGTACGCACGCACGCACACACGCACGCCCGTGGGGTCGTTTTAGGGGCTTGATAAAGAAACCTAGGAAGGTGGTTTGATGGTAGGGAGAAAGTGGGGCTTGGGCGCCATCATCATAATCCGCGTCGTCGTAAACTGTCCTTTTCTGAGTAACGTTAAGCAGTTTAAGAATAGTTTTAAAAGCGATAAAAGTAGCTGTTTGAAAACAGACACTATCATTATAAGTTATGGACCCGCGGTGGAGGCATCCGTTTACCTCTCTGAAAGCCGGACCTACCGGTAGCGGTAAAACTGTATTTGTGCAGAAGTTTTTAAAACATTTGAACGCTATGGTCGACCCGGTTCCGGAGGAGATTATTTGGTGCTACGGGGAATGGCAACCTCTGTATGACAACATGGAGGGTGTCATCTTTAATGAAGGTCTTCCGGATATGGAACAATGGCAGGGGGATAGACGACGTCTAGTTGTCATAGACGATTTGATGTTAGAGACGGACGACAGAATCACTAAACTATTTACTAAAGGTAGCCATCATCGCAACATCAGCGTGATTTATATTGTACAAAATCTTTTTGGAAATAATAAAGAACAAAGAACAATCAGTTTGAACGCGCATTACCTGGTAGTTTTCAAAAACCCTCGTGACGGTTCACAGATCACCAACTTGGCCAAACAGATGTATCCCGGCCGCGTTTCCTACGTCCAAGAAAGTGTTAAAGACGAAACGGCAAACCCCCACGGTTATTTGCTGTTCGACCTCCGACAAGACACCCCAGACCAGCTCAGACTACGCAGCGAAATATTCTACGACGAGAAACGAGCAGTGTACGTACCTAAATAATGTCTGACCGCGAGATGCTGCGTTTTTTGTGCGGGGCGAAAGCCCACACAGCCAAAGACATCATAAAACCGCCTCACATGAGCTCGTACAGACACTTTGTAAATGTATTAAAAGGTAATGTCACCCTGACATCCGATCAGAAGAGACGTTTGTGTCGTTACAAAAACAATCTCAGAGCGCTCACCAAAAAGAAACTTTCAATCAAAAGCGAAAAGAGATTTTACAACACGGTGGGTTTCTCGGGGCCTTATTAGCGCCAATACTAAGTGTGGTAAAAGGTATCTTGGGTTTCTAACCATGGCCAAGAAAATGATATTGATCGACCCGCGTATGATGGACTCTATGTTTCAAAAACAATATGTACCACCCGATACAGTCAATGATAGCCTACGTGATCTGGATACTCATATGCAACATGTCCTGGAAAATGAAGAGCTGTCGCCTCGGGACAAAGCCCGACTATATCAACAGACATTACAACGTTACTTGACTCGTCTGGATCATTACCGACACAAGTCATTGGGCGTAGTGGATATTAAAACGCCCACAGAAACCCTGCCGTCGCCGCCACTACCAGTAACACTAAAAACAGAAGACAACGAGTCATTGAGTCATTCACCGTCGCCGGCTAAAACTGTCAAGAAGACAGCTGACTCTGAGACACCACCGGTCTCGTCGTATAAACTGAGACAAAGAAACAAAAAGTCTAAAATACCTACACCAAAGTGGGAACAATGGCCACGCAACTGAAAAACTTTACTATGATCCGAAACAACCGGGAGCCTATAGTGGGGCTGTAGCCTTAAAACGACACACAAAAGTGCCAACTGAACAGATCAAAGATTGGCTCAGTCACGAAGATACATATACCTTACATAAACCTATACGGCGACATTTTAAGAGGCGTCCGATTATAACCAGTGGACTCAACCAACAATTCCAAGCTGATCTGATAGATATGAGATATTTACGAAAAGACAACGACGGTATGGCGTACTTGGTTACTTGTATAGACGTGTTCAGTAAATATGCTTGGGCCATTCCCATAAAAAACAAAACTGGAAAAGCTTTAGTGGAGGCGTTCAGTAAAATATTTACCGAGCGACAGCCAAGGAAACTGCAAAGTGACAAAGGGTCCGAGTTCCTTAATCTGACGTTCTTAAAGTTTCTTAAAGACGAGGGCGTGCATTTTTTCACGACAGAAAACGAAGATATTAAAGCAGCGGTGGTCGAAAGATTTAACTGCACCTTAAAAGAAAAGATGTGGCGTTATTTCACTAAAACCAACAAGCACCGTTATATCGATGTGTTGTGGTTCTTTTTGCGAAATTACAACCATTCCTATCACCGCAGCATTCGTATGGCCCTGGTGGACGTTAACCGGCGTAACCAAGAGCAAGTATGGCAGACATTGTATTCGAGTGTCGAAAGCCCCGGCATACATGTGTTTAAAGAAGGTGATCGTGTGAGACTCGTGCAAGACAGGCAGACATTTAAGAAAGGTTATATGGCTTCCTGGACCGAAGAGTTGTTTACCGTCAGCCGCGTCAACAGAACCAGCCCGGTAACTTATGTGCTAAAAGACGATTCGGGTGAGGAACTCTGCAGGTCGTTCTATAAGGAAGAAATACAGAAAGTCGGCGACAAAGAAATTTATCGGGTGGAAAAGATTTTACAAGAACGACGAGGTGCCCGTGGTGGTAAAGAATATTTAGTCAAGTGGTTTGGTTATCCGACCTCATTCAACAGCTGGATAGCAGACCAACAACTAGAGAGGTAGGAAAATTAGTGTTATGGAAGCCGTTGATGAAGTGGATGAAATTACCGTCTTTGCAACAGAAACAGAAGCTGACGGTAAACGACCGTGGTTCAGTAAACTACGTCCGCGACCTGAGGTTGTTTTCATCTCTCAGATGGTGATTATATACATCGTCATCAGTGTATCACTATTCAATCTGACTTACGGCTCGGCGAGTGAGGAAGAGGGAAAATTGTGGATCGTGCTCTTGTCTAGTTGTTTGGGTTACCTATTACCGAATCCGAAAATAGAGACGGTCTTAAAGCAACCATGAGTTTTTACGTGACGCTACCCAGCAACGCCTCGCCAAAAATATTTCCCGACAATAAACCGGGTCACTTTTTCGTCAAACTGCCGCAGACCATCGAATTGAGTTCACAGTATGAAATCGGCCTGGCAGAGATTCAATTTCCCAGCAGTTATTTTAATATCCTGGAAGATGATATCTGAATCGAATACACCCCACCAAAGGACAGCAAAAAGGTAACTCAGAAAATTACATTACCGGCTGGTGTCTACAAGTCAGGTGAAGATTTTATCG